TACAGGGACCTACCAGTTAGATTTTTTTGAGATGACTGACAGGGTAACTTTAATAAACGACAGAGGAAACCTAAGTGGTTTCCTTTTTAAGTTGGGAGAGGGAACTTAGTGTTGAGAGTGCCTAGAAACATGCAAATCTCAATCCAGCGGCAGGTAGAGAACCTACCACTCTCTCAGCCACTCCTCTTACTAGTGATATGCACAATGCAGCACTACCACCCTGACTTTCTTCAGCCTTCAAATCTGACAGCATGCTTTGTAGAGCAGCCACTATTCAACATGTATGTGATCTGCAAAGGATAAACCCACTGGCTGACAGCCAGCTTAGCCAGAAACTGTTTACACCACAATTCCAATATGGTGAGGTCTGCACTCAATTTTCACATATTTGCAATCAATGATACAACAGCAGGGTGTCATTCTAACTTAAACAAGGTAGATCATTAGGATAGCAGTTGATGCTGGTCGGATTTTGTGTTTTTGCGACTTTGTGTATATTTCTAAACAGTTGACAAGCACAGTTATTGTATCTAGCAAATATATCAGCTTAGAACATCCATATCTGATATCGGATAGTGGTTGTTTAAGTTAACATCATTACTGCACATGGTCTGTGCAGAGAGCAGAGCTGTGGAAGGGGCTCATCAGATCCACATACTACAGGCTGCCTGTAGAAAACTACAGAAGGGTCTGAAGGCAAGGCCAGTCACCCTGCACATGGAGAAAGAGCACGGGTGAGCGGTCTGTATTGCAGGAAGCTCCTGCACAGAGGAAACGTTTCACACTGGATAACTGCATTTATCTGGACTAAATAAACAAAGCACACCACGATTTAAGTTAGACAGCACTTGTCTTGTATTTAAACACTATTTGCTTATTCTACACACAATTATGGATCACTACTAAATGTAAAATGTCTCTAAACAGTGCACTGTGGCCCAGTAAAGACTACCCAGGTGTAAGTACCAACTACCAAAATAATGCTTTGTATGAATTATTTCACTAAAGAACCAAATACATGTAATGAGAAATATATGCAAACATGGCTATCACAGAAAAAGTTTTATTCGCACTTACATTTTTCGCACGGTGCAGTTGCGTGCAGCACTTTTCAGTGCACTTCACATGCATTGCCATTCATCCCTACCAAAGGTGGTTTTTTTTTTGAGAGGGCATCAAAGTTACAGCAAGCAGATTTTTTAAGACACTTTACTTAAATGCAGATGTGTGCATGTAGCCTAAGACATCTGGAGAAATGCCATTTTATGAAGGGGTTACAAGTGAATGTAATTAAAGCATAACAAGGCCTTTGCTGAACCAGAACATGGATATTGATGGTACTGATATGGTCTGCTGGGCCTTGTGGGTTTGCTTCAGTCAGTAAATGCCTTTTGATGCTTTACTTCATGTGGGGACAGTCAAAAGCTTACATATAAAAATGGCATTTGCTGAGATCTACTGTTATCCTTTTAGGAAGACTTATCTGCATATCAGTTATTTACACAATAAAGGAGTCTTCATAAACTGGCCTTTTTCAGAAGCTCAAAGCACCTCTATGAAGATAAAACAAATGTTAAAAATACATTTCTAAAAGTAATCAGTGCGGAAGTTAGCATGGACGTGACATCTTTACTTCAAAATGTTAAAATCCTGTGAAATGGCAGTTCTCTCATAATATATTATAATCACAATACGTGATGTACACCGTATGTTGTCAATTGTCTGGTATGCCTTTGCATATTAACCCATAAAAAAATTATTCCAACCATACCTCCCATATGCGCTCTCTTTCTATACAGATCTCATGCTGTTTCTGGCCCACACAATGAACATATGGTGAATATCTTATCATATAGCTTCTTCATTCATACGCTAGAAGCTGTCAGACTGTCTGTGCTCCTCTTGCTGGACTATAGGGACACCAAAGCTTTCAATGAAAGGCGATCAACAGAGTCACTAGAGAGTATAACTTCACAATGATGGGCAAGGGGATCCTCTCCACTTCCTTTATTACCCACCTGAATCTGAACTCTTGGTTTGAATATCAAAGCAGTTCAAAAACATAGCATGTGGCTTCAGAATGAAATTCAACCGCTAAACACATTCATTGTACATTTACAATTTACTGGTTCAAGGATGGCATCGATATAATATATGCATAGTAGTGTTTGCTTACACAAACAGGCAGAATTCCTAAAACAAAAACATGGGCAAGTAAATCTGAAAGAAACCTGTAACAGCACAATTCCAACATGACTTAGAATTCTACACAAATGAGCTCTAGCCCCCCACTGCTGTAACAGTATTATTTTTCTAATTACATTTAACACGTGTGAGATTGTTTTCACTTGATATCATTTCTAGATAATGCAAGCGACCAAACCATGAAAGATGTGTTATCTTTCATCCGTATTTTAATTAAACACATTGTCTGACATCTTCCGTAAGTTATGCAGCATATTTCAGTGTTTTATGTACCAAGAGTAAATCAGCAGCATAAACATACACATACTGTACATCTATCAGCATAGATGTTTACTGTGAACATGGTAACATTTCTGTAATGGATCCATTAGAAGGTTATTAAGATACAAATAACAATATGTGAGCACACACACACTGCAATAGATATTTATAGAGAAAACTCCGACTCTTCAAAAATGACTTGGTGTTTCTGTCCAATGACAATTTTTCACGCCCATGTTTAATCATGTGGTGTATGTCAGAAAAGTTAAGCATTTCACCTGACCCAGCAATATATTTTATTGTGCACTGTCAAATGTGAGCTCAGTGATTTAAAGCGACCCTTCCGAGAGGTGTAAAGCAGCAAGAAGCTTCACTTTCTTGCAGGCCTGCTTCCATCTGACACTTTCGGGTGTGCACCACGTCCCCTGCTGGTTGCTATAGTACCTGCCAGTAACGTGTAGTGACTTGGCAGTTGGTGGGCTAAGCAACAGTTGCCAATGGTAAACACTATTCGACACACCCAGAAGCGTTGATTAGTAGCAGTGCCCGAAAGCTTTGCAAGAGATCAAAGTTAACATACCACCCACTGTGGAAGGAAGTATAAAACTGCTAGTTTTTCAGGGTATTGTTGTTGTAGTAATGTGTTCCACTCTCCAACAAGGTTGCTAGAAACCAGAATTCTGGACAACAAATAAATACTATTTCATCTAGTTATGCATTTCAAAAAACCCATTAACATATTTTGTTCAATACAAGGATAATGCCTGAATGTGTCTTGATATTTGCTTCTCATAATCGCCTATACAACATCACACAAACTGGGATAGGGAAGGTCAGCTTCCACCAAGGGTTTTATTGTTTTGCATAGTGTTGTCATTCTAACAGTGTGAACACACGAGGGAGTGGGAGGTTGGGATGATCTTATCAGTGTTGCTTCTCCTTCATTAGCCAATAAGGTGACGGGACGAAGAGAAGGGAATAAGGAATCAGAAGGGGATAGAGGCGGAACAGAGGTTATATGGCTTGTAGACCACAGAAAAAAAAAATATTATGGTGAGACCTGCCAATTAAATACAGTAAAAGTGTAGGAGTGTACATACTCCTTAAAGACAACATTTCAGGCAGCAGACAAAAAAGACAGGGGAAGTTTAGTTTGCATCAAAGGCTCTTCATAATTGCAGCCAAAACCCTTTGTTTAAGTTTTGGATAGTATGGAGAAGTGTAAGATATTTTGGCAGGTTTATATTTCTGTATGTAACCCCACTGGGGACCTCCTTAGTGATTATTCAGACACAAAACCAAGAATGGCCATCACACACCATTCGCTTCACTAACTTGTTACATTTTGAGGCGTCTTTCCACCATAACATGAACATTTGGTTTTAAGAGCACATTGTTGGGATCATTCTCACACTGGTTTCTTTTAAAATACTAACTGGGTTTCTTATATTGTAGTCTTGTTAAATACATCGTGTGATGGGTTGCTTCCCCTTTCTTGTAGAACAAAGCAACAATTGGTAAGTCCTGTCGTCTCTTAGGAGCACCATCATTCCAAATTAAAATGGAACTCGAAAACCAACATTTTGTTTAGTTTTTTTTTTTTGGATAGAGTGGGGAAGGGATGTTTACCCTCATTTCCTGTCCAGGTGACCGTTGTCACTAAAGCAGAAAGTGAGGAAAAATCCAAATATAGACAAGTTTCTGTAACAGGAGGTAAGGGGAAAATCTCAGTGCAGAAGCCTAGTTCAGTGACATCTTTCAACAGTCAACAGTGGGATTTCCTGTAACTATGGGGAAAATTGTTATTTCCTGTCATGTCTTTAGGATTGAATTGAGGCTGCATCTTTTCAATAGGGATACAGAAAGCAATACAATGTGGTTTAACCCCTCCCAAAGCAATCTATAATGAAACAAACATTTTATATGGAATTCCACCTTAAACGAGCTTGTGCTGAGAGAATAATGGATTGCCATTGCTAACCTTTCCTTCTTAAACTGCCAGTTTCCTGCCTGCCATGCCAACCCAATTACTTTAATACTTTCTAAGGCACTGCCCCAGAACAAGTATGCAAATAAGAAGTTTTTGTTTCACTCTGACTTTCTAAACAAAATGTTGTTCCAGGTCAGTGACTCCAAAGGCACTGAAGCCAGAAAAATAGTATACTTAACACTATTTCTCTCAGTACATGTAGTGTATGTGCACACTTATAAATGCATTTGCTTTGGATTTAAACACATAAACCAACAGCCATAAAAAATTGTGAAAAGTCCATATGACAAAGCAACATCATCAGTACAGTTTTATAACACCGCACTTAGAATATGACAGAAAGATAAATTACAGACATATAAAATAACAGACATATAAAATAACAGACATATAAAGTAAACATGGCAGTATACCACTATTTAAAAAAATACATTTGACAGACAACAGATGAAATTGTAATCTATACATATCTACTGTACATTTTTGTAGCAAGCATAGACTGCATTCAGTAGTCTACATTTGAAGACAAATTTAAAAGTGATACCTGCAGAGACACGGGGGCAGTCCGGCAGCATAGATTCCACAGAAGTGTCCAATGGTTCAGAGCTGGATACCCAGTTGCAGCAGTTCTGTGAACAAATAACATATGCTTGACTTAAAACATACATTTGTAAACAAACATTAAATGCTAAGTTTATCTTTCTGACCGCATTTCACATATTACACCTATATTCAGGGTGTAACATGAAACATGGTCACACCCCGGACAGAGAGCAAAGCACATGTATGACCCTTCCGCAGTCATAATCTGGGTTATGTCCTGAATCATGCTGCATTAGATAAATACTATGAGGGGAATTTATTAAAACTGGAGCAGACAAAATATGGAGCAGTTGCCCAGAGCAACCAATTTCTTTCTTTAGGTTGTTCAGTTAAGATTTGAAAATGAAAGATAGAAGCTGAATGGTTGCCATGCACAACTGCTCCAGATTTTGTCTGCTCCAGTTTTGATAAATTGTAGCTAAATTTGTAGATACATTTGTAGCTTGAAAAGAGACCTGGGACCTGGCTGTGATGTTTGACATGAGTGCCTGGGTTCCAAACCTGGCTGAACAAAATTACAAATCCTGTTATGTATTTCAACTGTTCATGCTGAGTTTACCTTATTTCAGATATTAACTGATTGTGACTCATACAACGGATGATCAAAGTAAGTGCATTGTATTTTAAAATGTGCAAAATAGCATGCACGGAGATATGCCCATCTCTAAAATGAAAGATCATCACAAATAAAGAGAACTTTTAGCAGTTGATAGACCTAGCAGCAAATCAGAATCAAGAATGACAGGGTGAATATTGAAAGAAAACTGAACATCATTCAACCAATAGTCAATCTGAGTTATAGGGTATGCCTGGGGCAATGAGGCACCTGCAGTTTTCTTATATTTTTGGGGCGTTCAGTGAGAGCTCCTCACCACAGTTTCTGGCGTTGTCAATGTCCACTTTGGAGGTAAATTTCTATGCGTTTCTATTCTTTTTTTTGTGTCAGTCATTAAAAAAAAATACAAATTCCCACAGGGAGAGTGAGACCCCCTCATAACTGTCACGGCACTGTAGACATCTTTCTATCCCTAAGAGGTGATTTAAGACATAACTCCAGACAAACAGCAAAACACAGTTAAAAAACATATTTGAATTGTTTCATTTAATCTGCCAGATGATGTTTAATTCTATTCAGTCACACACTTCTGCCATACTGCGTAGCCAGGAAAATATAACCATAATTTCCCCGGGCAGCTGCCTTTGCCACTTACCTGCTCAATGCACTAAGATTAACATGATGATTCAAGTAAATGGTTTATGTGTGACACAGGAAGTTTCAAAATGGAACATAGAATTAGGGAAAGGAGATGAGCATAATTACAAATATTTGGCAGTTATAGCCGAATTAGGTTATAATATGCAGGTAATTAATACCTGCATATTCCAAGGTTTTGTATTTGAAATCACTTGCAATTTCCCCTCGGAACAGCCCATGCAGGGCAGCTGGGTAATGTCTGTAGCCACTGTGTTTAGAAGCCCCTCTGAGACAGAAAGGTGCAGCCACTGACACCCCCTCATCTCTCATCTATGGCATTATTCAATTGCAGTCCACGTAGTAGGTGAGGCAAACTTTCTGGAATCCCTTCCCTAGGCCAGAACCTGTATGTTTAATCTTGCAACCACACAGTTTAGCAGAAGAAATGTCTTACGCAGAAACTAAAGTCCCCAAAAAGCTAAGAATTAAGGGATGACAATTTCAGGCAAAAATACACAAAAAGTCCAGCTGCAATATAGGACTTGCACACACACAAATACTTTATTTTGTGTTGAGTACTTTAACCCAACCTTTGGGAGCTTGAAAGCCTGCATGCACTGTCAAGTTTATTGATGATGCCTCCCCAATCAATGACAAAGATTAAACTTAAAATGTTGATGAGTGTCAATAACGGTCTATCTGAAGAAGCAACTGACAATGAATTATTCTTTGAAAATAAATGTGAAAGGGATTATAGGCCATGTAAATACGACATTTTTGATTGATTAGAAAACATCCATCACAGACTTCTAACAAGAGAATGATACATTCTACAAATGTCGCACTGCCTCAGACACCAATACATTGACTCTCTTTGATGTCGAAACCTGAAATGGTACAAAAAAAATTATATTTCCCAAACAGAAGATACTGTTTCACTACTTTGTTTTGGTCTATCCTTCTGTGAATTATATATTTTCTTTTTTTTTTTAGAAAAAGTCCAGACAGTTTTCTCCCATCAATCATGTTTGCCAAAAAGAAAAAAAAAAAGGTTGATTGTTAGTCTGGTAAACAAGCTGGTATTGTGTATTTTTAGATGCTTGCTACCCTGCTTGTGCACCATGGAATCCATCCACGACATGGAAAGATCCTTGACTGGTAGATCAAGTGTCTTATTGTATTTCTTTAATTCATTCTGTCTGGAAGAAGATGTCAGCTGTATAGCAGTGAGGGAAAAATCTGAAAGCCTTGAATCGCCACCAATAAAGGCCAAGGAACGAAAGCTTGAATAGACTTGTCAAGGCAACCTACTGTTCAGAGTCCAGGGAGTGCAGCAAGCGATACAGGGAAGATTGCTATATACGATTAGAAAGGAAACTTCGGAAAAAGTGGTGAATCATTAATGTGTTTGTATTATTTTATAATCTGTACATTTTTTGTTTTGTTTTTCATTTTAAATAAAGAACATAATTTAAGCTAGAACCAAGTTCTTTATTATAATTTGGTAAACTTACATGGGGCAGGTTTATCTTGGGTTCCATATTTTGTTGTCTTTGTTACAGAGTATTATTGTCTGAAAGTTATTTATATAAATGCTGCATGATGCTTGAAAGCATAAGGTATTAGCTGTCAAATGCCAACAACACCTTAGGCCAAAACATTTCAAGCTAAGTCAAAAGCTAGAAATAGGAATACATTTAAAAAAAAATACACAGTTGCAACAATGACATGAAGATACGACATCCAAGGAATTAAGAATAGAAAACTAAAAAATTCAAGCATAGGTGAAAATGTATCTGATTTAAGCAAAGGGTTAGCTCAATAAATTAGAATTTGTTGCTTTACAATTATTTAAAAAAAATGGGACCTTTCTTTCCAAACATAGACCAAAGCACTAAAGAGATATGTCTGTCTGGGCCAACTCAATATTGAACCCTATGGACTAAGACTGGGATGCCATTACAGTTTATGTGTGTGTAAAGGCAGGCGTCCCTATGCTTTTGGCAATATAGTGTATGTACATGGGAGCTGTTATATTTTCTTATTAGGTATACAGCATCGGTTTCCTGCTTAGTAATGCTGCTGGAGGCTTTTGATCAACATCTGATCTTCACTTTAAAAAGGTAAACTGTAAAGAGTTTGGGTCATTTAATAAAAAAAATTATATGATATAAAAATTTATCATACAACAAAGGATTCCAAGGGCACTATGGCTTTTTATTAAGAGAAACCACATAAGTAGTTTACTTCAGGCACAGGGGCATTTAATTACTAAGAGCAAATTCTGTTCACTTTGCAAGGGGATTTGCACTTTGCAGGGGAAGTTTCCTTTTAGTTTGGTTACTGCGGCGAAATTTCACTTTGCAAAGAAAATAATAATAAAAAAACCAAAACAAACAGTATTTTTGCTTGCACGTGTTTGGGTGGTGGAAGTCAGCTGAGCTTTACCTCATTCACAAAACTAAGGGGAAACTCCCCCTGCAAAGTGCAAAATCCAGTGCAAAGTGAACAGCTTATTTGACTTTACTAAATCTACCCCATTGAGTCTAATTAAAATCACAGACAAAGCAAAACAGTTGGGAGGGAAGTGGGCAGGAAAAGTCAAAGCCCTAATGTCTTCATTTTTGTGATTAATTATTAAGATGTAATAGTGCAGGTTCCCTCAAGAAAATATGTACAAAACTACTACTCCCTGGTCATGCATGTTATCATATAATTGTACAAACTGCTTTAGATTAACAAAAACTACATAACGTGAGGGCCTCCTTTAAAACTCTATTCAATGTGTATTTAACCCCTTCACGACCAACGCCGTACAGTGTACGTCGCTGGCATCGGGGCTGTTTAAACTTGTAAAGCTGACTGTCGGCTTTACAGTAGAAGCGATTCTGGCGACTCAGCTGTCGCCAGATCGCTTCTACGGGCCGGGGAAGGGTTTCCCCCCGCCCGACACCCTTGCTGTTTTTCCCCGGCTCCGTTGCCCCTCCTACGGACCCGGGACTGGCTTCTCTGGTGTCGGGGGGAAGCTGGGTATCTTTTTACTCGTTGTAACTTCATCTTTTATATTTTATAAAAACAATGGGTATTTTATTGTGTTGTGGAGCATTGTGGGGCATTTAATTACATTTTTCACTAAATTTTGGGGTTTGATAAGGAGTTGAGGTAATATCGTGCAACATAAAAATTTCCAACTGCCACCATTTTACTCTATATTGTCTTGGCTTTCAGAAAATATATAATGTTTTAAGTTTTAAGTAATTCCCAGGCCTAAAATGTGGAATATAACATGGGTGCAAAAAAATGAAAAAAAGGAGATTTAATACACAACAATTTAGTATGAGGGGTTAATTAGCCCTCATACTAAATTGTTGTGTATGAAATCTCCTTTAGATTTATCATCAACTATGTCTTGCAAGAGCTTACACAGTTTGATATCAACTGAATCGATTGTTTAAGGAAGTACTTAATCCAACCCAAAAAAAAATCTAAATGTATTGCTTCTAATAAATGTCCTTGTATAATAATAAAAAGAAACATACTTACTAGCCCTTGAAGTCCAGCATTGTCTTGGAGTCCTAGTAGCTATAAATTACCAGGTACTGGCCTGCTTCTGCGCTGCCATCTTAAAAAAAGTCCTCTTCCTTGTCTCAGGCATATCACAGGCCTCTGCTAGGTCTTTGTCTATGTGCAGACACACTACAGGCCTCGGACCTGGCAGACTTTGTAGTGCGTCTGTGCATGCACACAAATTCCCGTGCAGGAATGTTGCAAATATTTGCCAGGTCCAAAAACCTTAGGCTGGGTTCACACCTAGGCGTATTGAATATGCGC